ATCAAAATACTGAGAAAATCGCCTTTAAAGTTGTCCAAATTAAGTTCTCAGCAATGCATATTACTAATCCAAAATTAAGTTTTGATATATTTATGATATGAATAGGAAATTTACAAAATATCTTCATGGAACATGATCTTTACTTATTATCCTAATGCTTTTTGGCATAAAAGAAAAATTGATAATTTTGACCCATACAATGAATTGTTGGCTATTGCTACAAATATACCCGTGCTACTTATGAGTTTTGTGGTCCAGGGTCACATATGTTGTTGCAAAACTCTTGCTGAAAACCTTTAATATTCAGCAGTGTTGGGGGTAACGCATTACAAGTAACGCGAGTTACGTAATCAGATTACTTTTTTTAAAGTAACTAGTAAATCTTTACTTATTATCCTAATGCTTTTTGGCATAAAAGAAAAATTGATAATTTTGACCCATACAATGAATTGATAGATATCAATTTAAATATACCCGTGCTTATGACTGGTTTTGTGCTCTAGGGTCACATATATGTAAAAAATAAATATTACAACATTTTTTGCTTAAGACTTTAAATGCATACAGTGCACGTTTATTTAAATTCAGCAATTTTATGAACTTCATATCTGCTAATAATAAACTGACATATCACCATTAAGGTGCTCCAGCTCTCTAGACATCAGACATGGCCATATAAAAACCCTTATTCAAGGTTTTTCATGATCATGGGATCCCTGCAATACGTAACAACTGTAACAAGACATGTTACACAAAGATATTTAAAAAAGAAAAATCAGAATAGGAATGCTGGTCTAGTTTTACATAAAACGGTGTCAAGAAAGCGGGGAACAATGTTAACAGATAGCCTCAGGGCGAAATTCAGCCAAAGTCGGTCAAGCGTCCACCAGCCCTGACTGACCATGTCTGGAGGTGCGGGTTTAACCTCTGGGAAGGGGAAGACACTTACGTGCCCTCTGCGGCATTTCGGTCTTACATCACCCTGTCTGGGTAAAAAAAAAAAAAAAAAAAGGAGACACCCAGCCGTCTAGGGTGACCATCATAGAGGAGCAGATCTGATACAAGCTGACAGGCCCGAAGAGAAAAGCCACGCTACAGTGATCAGCAGGAAAATGACACCCAATTCAATATGACAGAACGCCGCCTGTGTTTGTACAACAGTCGCCGCTGCTCGCTCATGTACGCTACACGAGCAGGCCAAATATAATAGCAGTTAGCCATTACGCAGCACTGAAGGAGCTGAATGTTTAAGAGCTACTGTGCTTTTGATCAGAGTGACCATTTACTCTTTGGCAGGTCTGAATGAGTCTAAGCTGAGAATCAACACAGAAATCAAAGCCTTTGGGAAGGTGGTTCCATGCCTGACCATAAAAATCTCTTTTTCCCAATATCTTTGCCTCGGCTAAACCCCAGCTAAAGCTTTGTGTCACATTCCATTAAAAACTACAAAGTTGTGCAACTTATGAGGGAACAGTGTTGGAAAGAAACTCCACATCTACTCGCAGGCAGGCAGTGATTTTCAGCGTTTCTCGCCAGGACTGACATGGTAAACTGTGTTGCGTGCCATTAAATTCACTCTTATGCCACTATGCCCAAATGTTTCACTAAGGAATTCGCTCAATCGCTGACGTCTTGGTTTGGCAGTGTAAACTAATGCAAGAAGAGATTTTAAAAAATGGGCTGGTGAGCAACAGATTGCATATGTTTAAACCAGTGATTTGGTGCACTAGGTGTTCATTAAAGGAATTAGATGAGCCGAAAATGAAAATTCTGTCATTATTTACTCACCCTCATGTCCTTTCAAATTTGTAAGCTATTTTTTGTGTGGAACACAAGAGGAGAATCTTCTCCTCTGGAAGAATCTTTGCTGAATCTGCACGCAGCTTTTCCAGGAACTACAACTGTCATCAGGGTTATTATCATTAAATAAAATTGTAATAGTTTTAGTATTATTTTTGTTAAATGAAATTAGCTGAAATAAAATATAAATATTAGACGCAAAACTTTAACTAAATGAAAACTGGAAAATTAACTGAATTATGTTTAACTTGAAGCACTAAAATTAATTATAAAATTATAAATAAATAAATACTGAACTAAAACTAAAACTGAAATAAAATAAATAAGCCTAAACGGTAATATAAAAATACATTTAAAAAAAAAAAAAAAAAAAAAAAAAAAAAAAAAACAAA